TGTCTGTCTGTCTGTCTGCCTGCCTGCCTGTGTATGCCTATCTATCTATCTATCTGTCTGTCTGTCTGTCTGTGTATATCTGTCTGTCTGTCTGTCTGTCTGTCTGTGTATGCCTGTCTGTCTGTCTGTCTGTCTGTCTGTCTGTGTATGCCTATCTGTCTGTCTGTCTGCCTGTGTATGCCTATCTGTCTGTCTGTCTGTGTATGTCTGTCTGTCTGTCTGTCTGTGTATGCCTGTCTGCCTGTCTGTCTGTCTGTTTGTCTGTGTAAGCCTATCTGTCTGTCTGTCTGTCTGTCTGTCTGTGTATGCCTATCTGTCTGTCTGTACAATATAGAACATTTCTGCTTTTATTAAATTTATTAAACTATTTATCTATCTAATCTTAAATATACTAATCTATTTATCTTTGTTTTAATTAGAATTGGTTTACATTTAAACATAGGATCATTTTTGGCTTTAGATCAAAAGTGAATTCATAGCTGACTAAATTCATAGCTGACTAAAAACTACTTTTCCCAAAACTCTCAGCAGTGGATGACATCACTCTGCCTGTTTGTCTAAGTGCTTCAGTCCAGCAGCCGATGGCTGTCACAGTCTCCTGCCAAACACACTCCATATTCACAATGCAGTTTAATTAATAACATCACTAAAAGGTTTGGTGCAATGAAGTTTGCATCTAGTTCAATTTCCTAAGTGCCTCTGTATCCCTTTCTAAGCAACAGCAACACAGAGTGAGACAGAGCCATCAATAATGCACCTCCAAAAGAGGAGGCCAGCTACAGCAGGCGGCACCAAACTCAGGAGACAGCAATTTATTGTCAAAATGAGAAGACCCCTCACTTTGTACAGGATCCAGGTGACTGTTTGTACTCTTTAATGATTTTATAGGCACTGTACATTTGAACTGTCTAACAGGTAACAGGTTTACATGCAGATGAAACCAAGTAGAGATTTTCTAACAGTTTACATTGAAATCACTCCTTAGATCACTTGATTTTTGACTCCAAATGACTGATGGAAAACTGTGAGTTGTGTCTTGTAAGCTTTCTGGAAGGAACATGCTTGTAGTGACTTGTCAAGTGAAGATAAAAGGGGATTCCTGTGGAACACCACAATATCTTGTGTATAGTTGATTAATCCATTTCATTCAGTCACAGCTGCAGCCTTTTCATGAATTCTATCTCATTCTGTGCACGAAGGTTATGCGTATTTTGATGTATGGTCACCATGTAATTGACTGATAAAATACACATAAAGATATGGTTTGTGCACATAAACTGTATTATTTTTGTCCTGCTCAGTGAAATGCTGTGTAAGGGCACAAAACAGGAATTAGTCATCAGCTGTTCATTTGTTTAAACCTGAAAAGCGAAGATGTGTTTTCATGAACATGTCAAAATGAACTCAACGGAATCCTATTCCTTCCATTTCCTCTGTGGGATAAAAAGCGAACAGTAATTCAACCTCATTAGCCCTTCAAAGAGCAGAGCAGAGTTTAATCAGGACTCGCAAAGATATGAGTCCCATATATGTGAATGTGACTGTACAGTTAATTTAATGCATATATCCGAGGCATATATCCGAGGCTTATTAACAGCAGGACTTTTTTTTTTTTTTATCATTTCCTCCTGCAGCGGGTGAATGAGCACAAAATCATGAATAAGGACAAAGAAAAATATTCATAAACCAAGTTCATATTGTTTAATACAACCATAATCTACAATTTGTATTGTAAACACTTCAAATTACTTGATTTAAAAATTTTTTGGAAGAAGAGACAGTGTCATTCAGCAAGGTTGCATTAAATTGTTCAAAAAAATAAGAGTAAATACATCTGTAATGTTACAAAAGATTTATATTCAAACACATGCTATTAAATAAAAAATGTATCACAGTTTCCACAAAATTAATTAAGCAGCACAACAGTTTTCAACATTAATAATAATAAGAAAGGTTTCTTGAGCACCTAATCAGAATATTAGAATGATTTCTAAAGGATCATGTGACACTGAATACTGGCGGAATGGCTGCTAACAATTCAGCTTCACTATCACAGGAATAAATTACATTTTAAGATGTATTAAAATACAAAAAAAAAAGTTATTTTAAATGGCAATAATATTTCACAATATTACTGTTTTTTAAGGATCATGTGACACTGAAGACTGGCGGAATGGCTGCTAACAATTCAGCTTCACTATCACAGGAATAAATTACATTTTAAGATGTATTAAAATAAAAAAAAAATAGTTATTTTAAATGGCAATAATATTTCACAATATTACTGTTTTTTTTTTTTTTTGATCAAATAAATGCAGCCTCAGAGTCAGTAAGGTACTCCTTAAAAACATAAAATAAAAATATTTAAAAAAAAACTTACCAATCCCAAACTGACAATCGAAGACCCATTTAATTTGTTCAGGTTGCCACTTGTAATTGATTTTCTGGGGCATTAAGGCCATGTTTTCTACTAACAATATATATAAAGAAATATCCTTTCATGTCTTTATTATTAATCCTGTCAATATTATGAATTTATTAACACACATTCTCAAAAATTGTATTGGAAATTGATTACTTTTTACCAGTAAACTAAATTTTAAAAATTACTTATTTTTCGACAACTTTCACCCACTTTAATGAAATTTGTAACAGTAAGTGATGAAGCCACAGATGCATAACCCTTTCTTGTCATAGTGTCTACCAGAATGTGCTGGAAAAGGAGACCAGCCAAGCTTGGGTGTGCAGTGATTTATAACCGTGATTGTCTGCCAGACCGATGTCTGAGGTCTTGTGAAGCCCTCGAGTGGTGAGGTGAGGTAGTGTAGGTGTTAAGGTGCAAATGACTGTAAAGCCATGAAACTCACCTCTCACCTCTGCCATGCAATAAACACTTAAGATTAAATAGACTTAATTCCTTTAGAGCTAGTGAATCTCTGTGTGATGATATTCCTCTGGAATATCATCCAGAGGATATTCCTCTATAAAATGTCAATAAATCTCCCATCAAGCAACAAATTTGATTTATCACTCTTATCTCTTGATTTTACACTTGAAGGCACTGAGCCTTGTTCACAGTGATGAGTCTTTTTTTACAGGCCTCTCCATCCCTCTGATGAAGCACTTAGCCCACTACGTTTTATAGCAGCAAGAGCGGCATGATCGATTATTCAACCTGACTCAGATTCTGCCTTCTCACGAACTGTTATTCAATAACCATGGATAAAATTAGACATTACCATCCTGAGGGGACAAATGGCACAGAGCAAGAGTGAGATTGTAGAATGTATGGCTGTGATTTAACAGGTAAAGGTTTCCTTGTCTCAATAGGCTAAATTTGACAAACTTCTGCATCCTGCACAGCTGGACAGCAGCACCTGGATGTGTAGCTAACATGAAGCAGCACTTCCTCTATTTCACCCCTCATTGCAGAAACAGCTACAAGAACAAAACAAGGCACAGACAGACATAAAAGAGACTGGAGTTAATAGTTACCTCTGCTGCACCAATGCCCTAATCATGCCCATATCAGTATAAAAATACAAATTCCCATTGCCAAAATTACAACTGCATAATCACCTAGCCCGTTTGTTTTCCTTTAAGCTATCATGGCAATAAATTATATTGGAACAACTGGGATGATTAACTTCTGACAGTATCCTAACTGTATCACTCTGGCACCTCACACCCAGATTAATGCCAATTTATAATTTTTATTTGAAATGGGACAGCCACGACTATCTGCATATGGACTCTATAACTGATGGGTCTGGACAGGGCACTTGCTGTTGAACTGCTAACAGGCTTAGCTTAATGAGAAGCAGATAAATGTCAGTGACAAGGCTTAAGACCAGCACCTGTTATCAGAGGTGCCCTTCATGCCACACACTACAAATGTCATTTTTTGAATCTGGCACTAATAATCTCCAACTCTATTCATGTTAATTAATGTTAATATATGCAATGCTGTCTATTTATGTATTTTTATTTTCAAATATTTTATTTAATAATGTAACTATGTTTATTTCATTCTTGTTATCATCCTATTAGAGTTGTGATTTCTGACACTGAGTTCTATCCTCTCTGCAGTGGACAGTCAGTAATTAAACTCTGTGCACCTGCGAAGCGTAATACAACAACAAGCCAGCAGAGGGTCCCAAGAAATCACAAGATAAGGAAAAAAAAAAAAAACACCCACAAGGCCATCAGCACCAACTTATTATAATACTTTTAACACACACACAAACGCATATATATATATATATATATATATATATATATATATATAGGAATAACGTGATTGAATTTGTCGTTTGTAGTAAATATGCATGTGATATCAACTCTCCACCATGTAGCCTAATTATGTCGTTTGTGCGTGCGGTAACATTAGGATCAGTGAACGCTCAGAAAATAAACTCTGGCTTTGTTGTATAAATTGTTAGTCTTTTTATGTGGTTTCAGACACTAATTCAAATTTATTGTAATGTATTTTCAGTTTGTGAAACTAAGGCATTTGAAAACAGCACAAATAAAAGATAAAATCATTATACAACATTTTCGAAGAAAGTTTTAAAGTCACCTTCTCTTAAAAGGGGGGTTTGTTTTATATTTTAACCTCTGGGACATAAACGTGTCTGCAGGAAAAGAAGCGCTCATATGTGGCTTGAACAACTCTGATATGAAATACAGCAGTTATAATAGCCAACATTTTTCATACAGCAGACGAAAACGCACAGAGCCGACTATTTTACGACATCATAAAGCAGCTGTCAAACTCGACCACCAAATGATTTATTTCATCAGAGAGAGCGCCAAAGGCGCCAATGCTTTGAAAACCTCAAAACGGACGTGACGTCAAATCTAGCAAAAAAAAACCAAAAAAAAAACAAGATTCGTGTTATTTCCGGACGCTTCGTTGCTTGTCACATCAGCTCGATACAGCGTCCAACAGGAAGAGGTTAGTAGACCAAAAACAGAGAAGCTGCCTCTGACAGTTAAAACACAAGGTAGGCTAAGCCTTAAATATGTTTCCAGGCTTACGCTAGAGCTTTACTCTATGAGATAAGTAACGTAATATTAAAACCTGCTCGCCAACTCATAGCATTGATGCTAGCTGGCTAACGTTAGCTCATCTAAAATATGCCAAGGTTGCCAGGTCGAAATATGAATAACAGCAAGTTATATCGCTGTTCCGATGTTTTGGTCTGCTGGAAGTGTGGGTTAAAAAAGGGGTAAGCTTTTAATTAGTCAGGTATTAATGGGATTTATTGATAGCATTGTTGGTTAGCTTTTTGGCATAGAGAAGCTTTAAAGAGATAACGTAGTTCACCCAAATATGAACAGTCATTGTCAATTTTCTCTCCCTCATGTTGTTACAAATTTGCATGATTTTCTTCTGCGAAACACAAAAAGAAATATTTGTCAGAATGACAGCCTCAGTCATTATTCACTTTGATTGCATCTTTTGTGCATTAAATGAAAGTGAATGGTTACAGAGACTGTCATTCTGCCTGACATTTCCTCTTTGCTCCACTGAAGAATGTAAGTCATACAGGTTTGGAACAACATAAGGATGAGTAAATCATCACAGAATGTTCTTTCTTTTTGTAGGTGTATTTTGTCTCTGCTGCTTTTATCCAGTGTATTTTAGTGGCCATCTATTTGCATTGCACCAAAATTCATTGCTTATATTCATAAATGTATGTTTTGTCATATTGTTAATGGGGTAATGACAATGTGACCTCTATAGCACCTCTCTGTCTCTTATTTTGCACATGCATCCTTCTCTACTAACACTCAAAATATTACGTGTTATGTGAAAACAAACCCATCATGATATGAAGTTAGTGCCCCAAGGTGTTTGCCACACAAGAATGAGAGCTGAGCTTGATTCTGGGTCATTGAGTTACAAAATCGAGGCATCACATGCTGCTTTCTTGGTCCTGAAATGAAAACAGCCTGTTAGTATCAGGCGCTGCAGTGAGGAAATGTGACTGGCCCACAGGGTGATTTCAGTTAGTCACATAATCACATCAAAACAGATCGAGTACTGCTTTATTATTTGCACAGTCTCATGCAGACACTGGATTTTTTTGCCAAACGTGTTCAAACACAAGTATTGAATAATATTTTTGATGCATGTTACTAAGAGATGAAAAATGAAAGCAGCAGGATACAAATCTATTGTTTACTGTAACAGGGAGTTATTATTTATTTTCCTTATGTCACCATGTCATGTGTAAATGTAAATAGTAATTAGAAGAGAGACCCTGGTTGAGATTCAGAAAACACCTGTTATTAGCTGCACAGTCAATCGTGGGCTGTTTTTTATGCTGATCTGGACTTTCTCTTTATTTATTTCTTATATTACAAATGAGTAAAGTTTTTGAGATTTACATTTGTGGTGCAATTTGAGCATCTTGTAATTTGTTTATGGAATGTATTCATTGTTTGTTCCTCCTGAGTCTTTTATGGCACGTATATTATGTTATAGTTAAGACCATATGGAGCTGCACAATTGGTGCAGATGTTTTTTATGGATAATCAAGTAAACCTAAGGTGCCTGAGTCCAGTAGATATTCATTTGAAATAGTTATAACAATATAAACTTTGTTCTTGCAAGATTGTGTACAACAGATTTTTCAGCAATGTTTTTATCCTGTTGAAAATATAGAGGCCTTAAAAATTCATGCATCAAATGATACAGTAGATTAGTATATAGTTATAATGCCTGCAGATATGTGCTAATTATTATTATTTTGTTGTTTACCCCGTTTGATTGCCAGCAATTGAAGTCAGTGGCCATGGATGACGACTATTACGTGGTTTTAGGGGTGCAGAGAAATTCATCTCCAGATGACATCAAAAAAGCGTAAGTTAATCTTTGGTTTCACTTAGTCCTCTTAATATCCCTAACAATGCATGCTATTCTACATCATGATAGTAATTCAGATTTACAAAAAAGTAGCACTATTGATTTTTTTTAGTTGTGTTATGGTATTCTGCCTGTCTTGGCTCATTTATCACCTAGTCAAGCTGTATTTCCCTTGTAGTTACAGGAAACTAGCTCTCAAGTGGCATCCAGATAAGAATCCAGATAACAAGGAAGAGGCAGAAAAGAAGTTTAAGCAGCTTTCAGAAGCTTATGAAGTCCTGTCAGATGGTAAGTCCTAACATAAGGAATTTTAGATAATATTAAATTATAAAGGTAATTAAATCATTATAAATTATAATAAAAATAAATGTGCTTTTCATTTAAAATGTTGACCTAAAATATCAGCATTTTTAATTGTCCCTCATGGCCAGTGAAAATTTGTTGTATTAGACTGATTGGGCCTTCAAAAATATCCTTACTGTTGAGCCTTTCCAAAAAAAAAGTTTCTTTTGTTATCACCCCTACACTTTGTGCTAGTAGTAACAGTAAGGGTTTTTAAATGTGCTATATCAATGGAGCTGTAGATTCTCAATATACTGTAAACAAGCTGTTTTTTTGTTTTTATTTAGCCAAATGTGGCACAGCTGATTACTCACACTCTCACTGCATGCTAAACAAAGCCTTATCAGCCTTGTACAGACTGCACTTTTGAGACGCTCCTTCATAAGGAGAGGTTGTAGCCGCCGCTCTTTATGATGGCCTTTTTTTTCAAATTCCAAAAAATGATTAATGACTGATGGTACAGCACCCACTGTGTCTGGTGCCTTTAAGGTGTGATTCAGGGCTGGTGCATGAATAATATAGCCTTATTACTAGATTTTTGACAGTTGCTGTGCAACAAATCTATATGGTCTTTATGAGTTCATTACCAAAATATAGTTGCTTAACTCTCGGTTTACTCTTTTTCAGCAAACAAAAGGAACTTATATGATCGATATGGAAAAGAAGGCTTAACTCCAGGTGGAGGTCAATTACATCCTACAGTAAATTTTAATAATATGGTGTTTGGCCCTAATTAATCCCTAATTTGGAATAAATATATGTATATAAATATGTCAACATGTTATGTTTAAACCTGTCACTTTTTTCATCATTTGGACAGGAGGAGGAAGAGGACACTTTAATAATGACCACTTTGGAGGATTCACATTCCGCAATCCAGAGGATGTCTTCAGGGAATTCTTTGGTGGACAAGATCCATTTGCAGACTTCTTTGGTGAGTTTGTATTTACCTCAGTGTTTTTTGTTTTGCATTCATTGTCAAATTAGATTGCGGTAGATTTGTATATTTCTGTAGCATCGCTTTTGCAGAGTAATTAGCTGGTGAATTGGATTACTTATAGTAGAGTTAACTATATTTATCATGAACATTGTAATGTTTGAAGTGGATGTCATAACAAATGTCAATAGACCGGGAAGATTTTACAATGAGTGGTTCACTTCATTTATAAATCTGTAAGATTTTACCTTCATGCTGTGGAAATACAATCCAGAAGACAACAAGAAACTGAAAAGTTTCAACTGAAACAACTGAAAAGGGGCAGAGCTACATAAGGTCTATAAATGCTACATTCTTAGGTGGAGATCCATTTAATGATGACTTCTTTGGTGGCGGTCGGCGGCACCACCACCACCACCGGGGCATGAGCAGGAGCCGGACAGGAGGGTCCTTCTATGGGGGCTTTGGGGGATTCCCACCTTTTGGGGCAGGATTTTCATCTTTTGATGCAGGTGAGATATTACAAATATGTTTGTGCTTCAGTTCAAAGTCTTGTCAGTTGTAAAAGTGCAAGCACAAACTGCTCAAAATAAAGACCAAAACCAGCCTAAAAAAAATTCTGAAACTTGTACTACAATCCAAACATCAGGGTGTATGATATCTTTTTATAGGTGCAAGGCCATATATATTTACATCAATGTGAAACAGGACAACTCGTGGATTAGAAAACTCTTGAAAATGTATTTTTGTTGCCATAGTATTCCTCTTTTTATTTTATTTTATTATTTTGTTAGGTTTCTCTCCCTTTGGGCATATGGGAGGAGGTGGATTAACTTCTTTCTCTTCAACTTCATTTGGTGGAGGGGGAGGTGGCGGAGGCATGGGCAGCTTCCGCTCTGTGTCAACCTCCACTAAATTCATCAATGGCAGGAAAATCACTACAAAAAGGTAGGTATCTTTCCAGAGTTGTAATTTATCCATCTTATTTTGAACGTAAAAGTGGATGTGGCTATTTGTATGAGGCTTCTGGTATCATCTGCTTCCAGTTATTTTTAGCTGTACAGAACAGCTCGTTATGCTACTTGATACTGCAAACTGCTAATTTTTTAATCATATAATTTATTATTACATTAAGTATTATTGTAATCACGAACACATCCTTTTTCACCCTTTACTGCACTTTGATATTCTTCTTATCATCTGCCTATAGCAGCTAATGAATTGGAAGTCTCACAGGAAATGGCTTACTTTCATTTTGCAAAATAAGCTGGTTAGGTTTAAGATATAAAAGCAACGTCAAACCAACTACATGAGCAACACAGCCTCAAACAACATTTTAAATGATTCCCTCCTGTGATTCATAGATGTGCTATTTATTTGTTTTGATAGAATCATTGAGAATGGACAGGAACGTGTAGAAGTGGAAGAAGATGGACAGTTAAAATCTGTAACCATAAATGGTAAGGAACAACTGCTGCGATTGGAACACAAGTAAGATAATGGAGCCCTTTCAGCACAAACTTAAGATCAAACAATGTTAGTACTGTTGTTCAGATGTCTGTACATTGCGTTTTTTTTGCTTGTTTGTTGTGTTTTTTTCCCTTTTTCATTTTTAGACTGTTGTTTCTGAACAATTTTTTTGTTTACATGTTTATAAATGGGGACTGTTAGTATTTTGCGCAGGATATGTGTAATTTTACTTGTATTTGGGACCATAATGTGAGATTAGTTTTTTTCCTTCCGCGAGCACTTTGTGTTGCAGTGTCCTCATGAATGCACATTGCATTTTGAATAGTGCTTTGGGCTGAAAGGAGAAAGAGGATTGTGCATTGTGCATGACTTTTCCAACTGTGTGGAGTGTGGAATTGGAGTACGTAACTTACTGTTCAAACCTTATGGCAACTTGTCTAATTCATTTGTTAAACATATTTGTAAATGCTGGTAGAGTGCTAGATTCATTGTACTGATATGCAATTTTTAATTAATGAAAATGTTTTTTTTCCCCTCATTGTTGCATGTAAGACAACAAATGTTGTTTATAGTTGTAATGTTATTACTAAATAACCTGATGAGAATCGGAGTTAATAATATAACTGATTTATGACCATTCAAGGAACTTTGTGTACTTTGTAAACTAATTTGAATCTAAATAAATGAGTTTCATCCTTTTTGGGGATGTGGCAGCTCTGCAGTCTATGTAGTTTTGCTTTAACTGAGAGTGATCTTTGATTTTCTTCCAAATCCAATCATTACAGGAGCGTGTTGCAGCTTGTTTGCTTAAACTAACAATGCTCTACTCTTTTATAACAAAATATGTTTAGTTTTTTCTGAATCTTTTGGAGTTTAGAGTGAGTAATCTTTTTATCTCAACTCAGTTATGATAAATTGATCATTATTAATGTTTGAAGTATATTCAAACTAGAAACATAATAGTTAGACAGTTAATATGCCATCAACAAATATACTTACAGATTAAAGTAATGTACATTCTGATATGGAATGTATGGATACAATTTCTAACCATTTTAATATAGATTAATAAGCTGTTATACAATGCAACATTGTCAGTGTTTATTATTGAACGATATTAAAAGTGTTCATGGAAGTGCAATTAGAAAAAAAGTGTTGTAAAGAAAAGGATTTGACAACTATGGTGGGTTTTAGAAAATAAAAATGATTTCAATAAAAACAATTATTTAGACAATGTCTCAAACTATTTTGTTACATTATGGATAGTTAACGGTCTTGAATTCTCTGGTACGCAGCAGAACGTTTGTTAGCTGTTGCCTTTTAATGTCTTTGATCAATGCTTTCCAACTCTGCCAAATGAAGCTGGCTGCAGTTCTACCAGAATGCATGGCTAACAAAACTAACAAGCTTTGTGATTTTGTTTTATGCTCTCTAAATGCATCTCTATCTCTGGATGTCAGAGGTGTAGTATGCATCACGCAGAATTATCATCATCAAACAAGTTTTGGGAAACTGGCTGGTAATATAAAGTATAACTGGTTAGAAAAAAACATATTTTTAAATTAAAGGCAGATATTAATACACTCATTAAAATAGTGCTCTGCCCCCTTCTAAACTAAACCACACCCCTCTCTCTAGGAAAAGCCCAGGAGATAGGCATGCTGGAGGGTCACAGACAGAGGAAGGAGCTCCCTGACTCCTCTTCCTCCTCCTCACATTCTGCAAGGCAGTCAGCTCAGAGAGAGGAGCAAAATAAAACTACAGGCAAAGGTCAGAAGCCCATTTCATATTTCGTGTGAGATTCCAGCAGCTCGAGCATGATCTTTGTGATACTTAAAAGTTATGTATCTCAACAGAGCAAACTGGAGTGAAGAGGAAGGGAATGACGGTGAAGGGAGAGACCAAAAAGGCCAAAGAGTCCTAAATTTGTCTCTGCATCTCAACTCATAGTACTGATAGTCTGACATACTGTAGCTGTGGATATTCTGTGTTGAGGTTGGAAAAACTCGCCAGCAATTTAGTTTTTTAATTTTTTGGATGCAAAAGTAACATTTATTATTTTAATTTTTTTATTCCGATACTAATCGATAACAAATAGTAAATCATCTGTTCTGAAGAACTGTGACTGATAAATAAATAAAAAACTGAAAATGAATAGCTTTAATGAAAATCTGTGCAAGCAAGCATTTCTCATTCGCATGATCCACACAGTTTAATGAATAAACACAACACAACCAATGTACATGGATATTTCAGTAATAAAACCGGACTTGCCTTTGCTGAATTTATGGTCAAACTTTGTAACGTTTAACACGTTCGATGTAAACACAATGCTAGATGCGCTTGGTATTTGGTTTCAGCCTTGGTTGTTGTATAGAAGCATAGTCATACTAAGAAATACTAGCCACATCATCAGTTTATGAGTAAATACAACAACTCTGTTAAAACAATGGCTTGTTCATGCCGTTTTCATGAATTTGCAGACTCCCTTCTTTCTGGCGGTCACTGCCCTGAGCATTGGACCCCATTTGCTCCTGGTGAGGAGCTTCTCTTTCAGCTCCTGAAAGACTGGGGGTCCGTCATGTTCTTCAGCCTCTGAGCTGATCTCCATCTTCTGAACTACGAGCTTTAGCAGGTTGTGTTGCTTTTCCATGGTATCTGACATCTCCTTCAGCCTGAGAAAGTTCACAGCACATGCTCAGGCTATAGTCCTTCGTAAGGTTAGATGCCATGTTGAATTTAACATGGATAAAAACAAGGCTGTGAGGGAGAGACTTACAGTCTTGACAATAGCACACACAGTATAAAGGTAGATGACTTTATTTTCTCATCTCACAACTTTCAATACCATTTTATGCAGTTTCTGTCTACAGAAAGCTTTTTTCATAAAAACATTTAATCTGCTTCTATCCCTCACAGCCTTAATTTTATTTAAAAATTAAATATGTTGCTACACTGCCTAAGGTCTATTGGATTTAGTTCAGAACCTGATTAACTTAAATTTGGCTATACATGAAGGTTTTTTTTTTTTTTTTTTTGTCAGATTGGTGTTACCTGTATTTCTGTTTGGTTGGCTCCCGTTCCAGTGGAGTTAACTGGTGGATGGTAGGACTGAGACGGGTCCTGGACCTCTTCACCTCATTCCCACCGAAAAAACATCTTTTCTGTTCACAAGCACATCAAATCTGCTTTAACAACTAGTGGAAAGTAAACTGGAAGTTTTTTTTAACATCAAAAATATTCAGCCTTTTTAGAGAAACTGCTTTGTAGAGCTCTTCACAATTATCTAATCTCAGTTAGTTCATCATTTCTGAATTGCTTTGTGTTTGTAAAATATGTTTGAGTTTGCTGCTGTTATTTGAAAGCATTTGTTGTTTTACCATCTCCTGTCCTTTGAAACATGAGCATGATCTTATCTTATTATTGTGTTTGACTGTCTGACCTTTCCACTGAAGCATCTGTTTGGGAATTCCTTGACGGTAACCTGGTTCACCCGCTTCATAAACCAATAGGGAAGCCGCTCCTACAGATTAGTGTGAAGTTCAATCTGTGGAGAACATTGACAACAAACCATTGTTTTTAGATATACTTATTCTTCTTATTAGGACACAGTATTAGTGTTGGTGTTGAATTACCTGCATTGCAATCCTCTTTAAACACGCATTTGTCTGAACCTCTGCTATGCCACCAACTATGGAGTCAATATAATGCCACATATATATGCAAAATAATAAAGTTTTGCAAAAGAAAATAAAGTTTTGCAAACGAAAATAAAAGTATTGAGAAAAAATAAATGTGTTTTTTGCAAACAAAAATATACAATCACTGATGAACACCTTTGGTTTTAATGAAAAAAAAAAAAAACTACACGAGGGTGGATTAGAACCCAGAGGAAATGCGTGACAAAAGTTCTACCATTCTACCATACCAAAACACGAACATTTATGCGAATTAATTTATTTATTTAGTACTGTGAAGCATCTCGGTAGGCTACTAATTGTGTTTTTTTATCAATACGTTTATTATTAATTTATATTAATATAGTCGCCTGCAATGTGGGCAGGGCCCGCGTATATTGACTCCATAACAAACCAAATAAAGATTGTCTGCGTCAAAAGGGGGAAAGGAAGATCTCCTTGCAGGAATGGTTTCAAGAAATTGTCCTGGTAGGCGATTTCTCCAACCATCATGACAAAGGTCTGCAGCAGTGACAGGCACATCCTTCCAAAATGTTGCTGTAAAATAAAGTCATACATTAAACTTGGCCTATAAAATTAAACATTCAGGCTAGCGTTCCAAAATGTCCACAGTTTGTAATGTTAATCTTTATAATGTTTCATAATCCTTTAGTAACACTTCTATACACACCCATTCGCTCATCAAGGCATAGAAGGCCAAAGCAAATCCCAATATCAAGTAGAAGAACGGCACAATAAAGCTCAACAGAGTGCGTGAGATCTCCCGAAACATTACCACATAATCCGTTCAAACATAAAGACATGAGAGATTACCCACTCAGCAAAAACTCGTTGAAAAGACGTCGAAAAGACGTAAATGCCAGACGTCTAAACAACGTTAAAATTTGGTTGAAAAGTGAAAGGTGAAAGTAGTCCTTAAAAATGTCGTGGCATCCTTGTGTTAAATAATTCTGCTCAGTGGATGTATTAACTGCCATTCTAGCAGCCCAGTACCGCTGGAGATAGAGGAGGAGGTTTATCCAGGAGGTCAGAGCTGCCAGTGCCAGGAACTCTTCACGTTCAGCAGCAGCGGCACCACCAACACCAGGGAACAGATCACAGCGGCCCAGTCCATGTAGTTGGACAGATCCCGCAAATAATTCAGCCGCTTCCAAAAGCAAGACACAGTTTAAATGATTAGGCATGCTTTAACTTTTAGGATGCAAATCAAGTGGTGAGATTTAAGCGTAGCCGTCTGTCAGAGGAGTCTAAATTATATTAGGCCTATATTATATTATCTTACATTATAGGCTATTATATTATATTTTTTGCACTATCATTTTTTTATTATTTACGCCCAGTCGCGTCGCTCTTCTCGTTACTCAACTGACAAATCAGAATTCATATTTGAATAAAGCGGCGCCATTTACATAGCCTACGTCGAAATTCCGACGACAAAGGAGCTAAATGTAATTTGCGTCTTTCCACATATATTTAACAAATAATTATCATCAGGTAACCATTCAAGCTTTAAGCATCACTTTATTGCGACAGAAATTGAAAAGAAATCTGCGAATCTCAGGTAAACTTAACAAAACACACGTCGACTAAACTTGAGGTAAAATTTTACCATAATGATGGCGTTCTTCTACGCACAGGTGAGTAACGTTAAATGTTAGATAAAGTTCATGTTTAAATGTTTAGAATTGTCATTATTCTGTAGTATGACGCTGCGAGATTTGTTCTGTTGTTGTAACTTACAGCATTCACAAATGTTGTGTTGATGATCGTTGAGATTATAACGCGTTGTTAATCAAAAATATCTGTGCACGGGATCATAATTATCAACAAATATATAAAATTCAAACCGGTTCCAATGAGTTATTGGTTTGATTGATCAGTCTACATATCAGGCAGATTTCCTCACAGACCGCAACTGTTCATTCATTCATAAGCTTGCTTGCTTAACTTACTTATTTGGCTACATACAAGTAAGTTTGGAAATATAAAGTACAGTATATACAAACCTGTTGAATCATTTGCAAGATCTCTTTCCAAACTGCATACATATTCATTGCAAGAACTAAGAGCATGCATGTTGTGATTATATAGGATTGCTGTAACGTTATAGAAAGAGAAGTTGGGTCATAGTTTTTTTTCTTCTTTTCTTGGTGAATACAACATCACAACATAGCTACTATATCGCCATTTTTCGATGAATTGCTTTAGTATATTGTAACGTTACCTTGTACAGGGACGTGCAGACCATGCTGACTGATGTGACATTTCTTGCAGTGACCAGTGTGGGCTTCAGATTCACAATGAGATATGTTAGAGGAAACACCCCCAGCGCATACACAGTCATACTGAGCAGATGTGCTTTGATCCCATAGGCATTCCTGTAGAACAGAACGTTCTTTAGCTCAGGATACTGAGACATAAAAAATTGCAGATTCAGGTTTCAGCTGTATAACTCACCATTTCATCTCCAAATATTTATTGCATACTGGATGTGTCAGCAAACTGACGCGATTAAAATTCACCATAGCCTGTAGCGGAGACACATTTTTCTGAATGTGGCCATTCGCAATTAAAGGGGTCATATGATGCGATTTCAAGTTTTCCTTTCTCTTTGGAGTGTTACAAGCTGATTGTGCATAGATAAGATCCCTGAAGTTGCAAAGACTGAAGTCTCAAAACCAAAGAGATATTCTTTATCAAAGTTAAGACTCTGCCACGCCCCCCTAAAACAGCTCGTTCTAACACGCCCCCACATATCTACCTCACTATGTGGAAATATTAGCATAATGTGGCCCAAATGTGCAGGCAAAGAAAGAAGGCGTGGTTTCAGGAACAGCGGTCGTGTTGATGCAGTCATGTCAGGGAGACGCTCTGTGTTTCTAGGCGAAAGCAAAAGCACTTTTTATTTGGCCTTCCGAAAGTAGATGCATTTAGGAATCTTTAAGATTACTTACAACAGAACAGCAATG